GGTCTACATGGGATGCTGAAATAGTGACACCTTTGCTTTCTGATAGTTAGGTTCAAACACTTTGTTGCATGCACAAAACTATTAAAATATCTTGTGTATCAAGTAACCTGCAGGCCATGTGTATAAGATGTATACAAAACATAAATGAATTTCATGTTTAGGTTTGGTTCTAAACACCATCTCCAAGATATAGTGGATATTTGCTGGAGTTTGGTTCCAGGACTCCCTGTGGATAACAAAATCCATGAATGCTCAAGTCCCATTATATACAGTGGTATAGTAAAATGGTGTCCCTTATATAAAATGGCAAAGTCAAGGTTTGCTTTTGGAAATTTATATGTTTTTTACTATTTTCAAATTGTGGAAGGTTGAATCTGTAGATAAAGAATCCTTGGATACGGAGAATCAACCGTATCTCAATATGTATATGCAAATATTCCAAAATCCAAAACACTTCTGCTAACAAGCATTTCAGATAAGGGAGACTCAACCTGTATTTGAACATTTTCTGTTGCTGACCCTGTCCTTCATTTTCCCATTTCTTTTGGCCCTTTTGTGGTGTTAACTGCCTTTGCGTCGATTTCAAGCCGTGGCGACCCTATAAGTGAGACACATTTGCTCAGCTCCTACAAACTCATATTTGTGGTCTCTTTAATAAAATCCATCATCTAACACGTGGCCTTCCTCTCTTCTTACTTCCCTCCACCTTTCCTAACATTATTGTCTTTTCCAACAATTCATGCCTTTTCATGATGTATCCAAAATCTTGTCATCTTGGCTTGAACTGCTCTAGGACCCATTTGTTTTTCTTTTTGGTTGTCCGTGGAATCCTCAGCACTCTTCTTCATCACCACATTATCTCAAATGCATTGATTTTCCTCCTCTCTTCTTTCTTAACTGTCCAGCTCCCACATCCATACATGGTAATAGGGAATACAATGGCTTGTATGATTCTGACTTCTGTGCTGAATTGTATGTCTTTGAATTTTAGAATCTTTTCTACTTCTTTCATAGCCTCCCTCCCCATTCTTAGTCTTCTTCTGATTTCCTGGCTGCAGTCCCCGTTCTGATCAATGTTTCATCACAGGTATGAGAACTCTTTTACTGTTTCTATTTCCTCATTGTCTAGTTT